TTTATATAGTAGCCCATAATATAATAGTGAAACATAGAGTCAGAAAAATGTCTAATAGAAAATGTTTTTTATTTGCATTTCAAATCAATATATTACTGATAGCAAATGACATGTATCTCTTGGCCCTGGGAATATTACATGCCAGTCGCTGCTCCATTCGAAGCTATGACCTCATCGTTGTCTTGGAAAAACCGATGCGTAGACATTTACCCTCTTGTTCTCTGACAATAGAGTTCAAGCACCGCTATAGTAGTTGCGACATTCCTGCATTAAGTGGTTTGCTTAATTAATTGGTGATGTTTAGAACAGGATGACATACAAAAGAGGAACCCATTATATCCAGATTACGTTCTGGTCATACGTGGTTAAATAGTACATGATTTAAAATGGGAATAAACCAGATTAGCTCACTGACTTGCGCGTTGATCACATAACTATGTTCTTCTCTCCAAAACACACAGCTGCACCGCAGGCTTTGGAAGAAAAATCCAATCCATCACGGTGGGGCGGTGCTGATCCCAGCAATATTAACCCTTTATTTCGTATTGATGATTAAAAGTATTTATAACTATATTATTTTACAGTACAGTACAGTAGTTAACATTTATACCGTACTTTTATTTGTTAAACAAATGCTTGGGCCTGTATAAAGTTTTTATTCCCTGATTTCAATGTTGTAAGGAGTATTTCATCGTATGATAACTCAAAAAAAAAAAAGGTTTCTACTTCACATATTTCACCTATCGCTGGTTCTTTTTGGAACGTAACCTCCGCGATAAACGAGGGTTCACTGTATTTAAAATGGAAATACTCCGGATTAGCTCACTGACTTTTGGGTGGATCACAGCCATCCCTGACAACAGTTTAGAAACGCCGCTATTCATCGCAGCAGCAAGCAGCATTCTTGCATAATGTGCCCAAAAAGCCTGGGGGGTTGGGCCTTTCATGCTTGTTGTAAGGCATCATAGCGTCCTTTTCCAGATCAAACTGAAAATTTTACCAGCTAGATGATAATAAAAATAACAAAAATAGTATAACAATACGCCTATTATCATCAGAGTAAGATATTGAGGCTGTAGAATGATAATCCCTATGGTCTAATGTAATTCCTTGGAAAGGTGGAGCGCACATCAGCTGATCTAAATAAAAGAAAGATGCCATAAAGTCAAACAGCATAATAGGCTAGTATCCATAATATATATAAATAAGTTAAATAAGTTATTGTACAATTTCTGATATCATAGGCCATCAAGTGATAAAAAAAAAAAGAAAAACATTTAAGGCAACATTAATAACTTGACCACAGCTGGGACCGAACCCTTAACCTTTGGAATTGCAGACCATTCACCCTACCCTCTACGCTAAACCTGGGGAACAATAATCTGCTCAGCTCGCAACAAGTCATACCCCTCCCAGTCTGCTCATACACCTATCTAATCCTGACTCATGGGACGCCGAAATGGACTCAGACTGCCACCTAGTGGCTATAGTAGTCACATGTTTTTCACACAATATGTGAAACACGCGGAGCGTGAGTGAAGTGTCCATTTCCAACCAGCGCCCACTGTACTCCCATAAAATTACATTTCTGTCCACAAACATTCGCTAAATGTCAGAGTGTTTTTTTTTGACAAATTCAGGATACGAATTTAGGTCAAATTTAGTCACTGGTAGTTTTTCTCTAGAAAACTCTAATGGATGCAATTTCTCTTCAGTCTCTATTGTTATTGAATCATAAGCCCCATTTACCCTACCCTCTGAAAACCGATCAGTGCCGGTTCGGAACGAGCTTGGATCAGCCAATCTTGGTACCTTACAACCATTGACACACCACGCTAGCACGGTTCCTCACCTCCTAGCGACGATCTACTTTACTACTGCTCTCTAGAGGTAACTAAGCAAATCAAAATGGCGGTGCCTTAAATTTCAGGAAGTTATGTTTTATTATCATTGTGATATTTCGTTGTTTGCGGGGAGTCAGGCGAAGAAGGCAACCTTCTGTGAATTTACTTGACAGACTCGGCTTTTGGGAAGAGGACTCGACAAACAAGTCTAATCAGGGCTTGAAGACGCAGGAAACAATGACAATCGTTGAGGTTCATCACACTGCTAAGCAGAATTATCACTGGAAATAGTCTGGCACGGTACGGAAGCTTGTATTTATATGAACGTCTTACATTTCTTGATTACGGAGACTGTAAGGAGATGATGTGGTCTGCTCATGCGCTCTTTAACTTTAACTGAAAACTGAGCCAGAACTGAACCACGCTGAGCCCTACTGTTGAACTAGTACCAGTTAAGCGCAGTTCGGTTGTGTTTAGGCATGGTCCGGTTCAGTTGTGTGCACCATTTACACTCAATAGTCATCCCAGTTAATGTGCTCGGATCGATCCCTGCACGGTTTCAAAAAGGTAGTGTAAATAGGGCTATAAATGCTGATTTTAATGCAGCAGCAAGTTCTGCAGGGTTTTTAGTAGGGTACTTTTAGGTTCTCCTTAAACATCCTGGATGAGTTGTTAATGCATTCTTGGAGTAATTTTAGCGGGCATGAAAACATCTCTGACTGGTTTGCAGGGAATCCCAAATCCTGAAAATAGGCTCCATTAGCACTTTCCAGTCTGATAGATGTTGATTGCTCTCTCATCTGTTCTTGTATTTCTTTAGATCAGAAACTCCTGCGTACTTTCTTATCAGACAGATTCTATTAAGTCATTTCTTGATTCTACGTGGCTTCTGAACTAAATTTAACTTTCTAAAAATCTGGAGAATGATAGCTCAATTTATTTTCCTTCAGTCTTGTAATTTGAACAGGCTAAATGTTATTTACCTGCTGGATTTAAATAATCATCTACATACCAATCTTAGAAGACAGCATTAGCCAGCAGTCTTCTTCAGCTCTGCTAAAGTATTAACACCTCTTTAGCTCATGCAGGGATTCGTGCATCAACACAGACATGCACATACATGCAAATAACCTTTTTCTTCCTGCTCCACAGTTGGAAGAGAAAACAAAAGAAAATGGAGCGTTGAAAACAGTTAGCCCAATCAAAGGCAACAGTAGGTAATTAGAAGGAAAGGGTCTGAGAAGCCAAAAGCTGCTCGGTTATTGGGAAATGTGCCAGTGGAGTATGCTGCTGAATAGGCTGAATTCAATCGGCTGATTGTGCTTGTTTTTAAAGGTGTATGAGGCATGAAACGACATCCATGAGTTTCTGAATGCAACACAATTTGGGGATTTTCACATTTCCAAAAGATCTCATCAACACAACAAGGCAAAGTGAGGGCTTCACGTTACTCTACACCATTCATTACCCAACTGGTGGAAACGAGTCACAGGTGCAATGTTCTATTTTCCTGACCATAGCTGCTTTTCTTCATTATGGTTACAAAGCTTGATATAAAGAACAGGTGCTGAACTCCAATCGTGAAGGCAAGTGTTTTGTATCTTTAAGTTCTGGGTAGAGATTCACCTTTCAGCAACCAGACTTATAAGAGCCCCTTAAAAGTCTGGGTAGCATTCCCATATGCATCTACCCTGGTAAATGCACTTCTTTGGGGGTTTTCTTTCCTGAGGCTTTGGTCCCACTACAAGTTCTGTACTGATGCAGTGCTTTCTTCCACCAGCAGTAACTGATGTAGGTGAGTTGACAGATGTTTTCTTGTCTTAAGTTATCGCAAAATAGTTTTAAAGATGTTTTTAAGCAAGAAAGTACACCTTATTACTATATCTGTGCAGTTAATTTATCAAGACATAGCCTACTTTTATATCAATGTCGAAGATGTAAAGACCAGTGTCCTCTGCTCTCTAAGCCGGGGTGTGAAGTGGGATTTCCAGCTACACAGCCAAAATCACTCAGTTGGTCATTAGTCATCAATTATCTTAACTCAAAAAGTTGATTTCTTTTAGGAAAGGGTGTTCCTAAAAACTACATCTGTGTGTTCGGTTTATCAAGGTTATGATCATATCTTAAAATCAGATTGCATAAGGTGGGAGAGTACCACTGACAGGCCAATCTAGTTGCTAGGCTAGTTAAACTAACCAGGCAGCAGTAACAGCGGGAATCCCAAGAGAGCTGTCAAATCCAAGCTAGGGGCTCAGGGGTTTCCAGCTGAAACTTAATTTTAAAACTGTTCATGAGGTAGTTTGTGAAAACTGCAAGTGCCAGAGTATAAAATGTTACATGTTTCACCACAAAGGTGTTTGACATTTTAGATTAATATCTGATTTATAAATTGCTTTGTCAGTTTAAGGCAACCTTACAATGTACTAAACCTAATTTAGTACAGTGTAACGGGTTATATACGTTGGATTGCTGTTGGCTTGTGGATACTTCCATCCCAAACTCCAGTGTCTTCAACTTCCACTTGATATAAATAATGCTTCTGAATATAAAGTGAAGATATCAATTTCTTGTACATGTGGACTAACTATGGTAAGTTTGACTAAAATGTCTTTTGCTCTTGCTGGAGATATCTGAAATTTAGCTGGTTGTTATAGAAAAAGTAAAAACAGTTAATCGGTTTTATTAGTTATATTAAATTGATCATACATGTAAACGGGGAGTCTGGCCAGATGAAGGCTGATAAAAAATTAAAATAAAAGTCATCTTTTCATATCTTAGGCATTTAGTTAGAAATGGTACGTACTGGAGAACCAGATGTGTTTTCTCATTACTGCCATCCACTGGAATGAAGATGTAGTGCAGTTTCTCTAAGGCTGAATGCCCTGGCTAATGGAAAAGCACGCCAATGAAGGACTATGGATCCCTATTACTCTGGTAAACTGGGGAGTTATTTCTACTTTGTCTCACCTCAGGGATCCATAAGGCACAGCTGACATGGACCCACTTGGTTCCACTGCGAGTGGGTTTCAGAGCCCCCCCTCTCTTGGGACATAGCAGACACTTTGGCTGAACCCCCAAAGCGCAGGTCCGACACAGCCAGTTTCCCTGTGGTACCTTCAAGATGCCGTAGCAAGCCTGCAACACAGAGAGACCACAGCTAAGTTTGGAAAACAAATGTGCAAACAGAATCAATTTATAACTTCTGTGATGACTTAATGTGTGTAATTATAACCCTTAGTTGTAATTACAGTTCAATCAATTTGGAGGTAGAAAGCAACACCTTATACAGCTGCTTATTGTTGCTGCAAAGTGTAAAAGGATTTGTTTTACAGTCACAAAATACAATACAGGGGTCCTATACAAAGTTGAAGGCACCCTTTCGCATTCTCATTCTAACTTTCAAAGATGGTAGACCCTTTTAGTACCATTTTAAAAATAGAGATATGGCATATATTTGTACGGAAGGAAGGAAGGAAGGAAGGAAGGAAGGAAGGAAGGAAGGAAGGAAGGAAGGAAGGAAGGAAGGAAGGAAACCTACATATGCAAAAAGTAAAGGAAAAACAATAATATTGAATAAGTTGAACAGTTTTTCACATTATAATGAGATTAAAGGTGTAAAAAGTCACAAGTGACACAAATTGACCTATTTCTTTGATAGAACTTGAAATGTTGACCGGGAAGAGATGAAACTCCAGGATCATTACTGTTCAGACGTCAATTATTGAAAGTTCATGTAGATGCCAAGTCGTGCTAAAACATTGGTTAAAAAGCAAACCTTGCTGTTCTTTTGGCAGCAATATTGCCACGTAGATCTTAGTTTGTACTATTCTCAACAAAAAACAAAACAAAAAAAAAGACCAGAAAAAAAAAAGCAGAAAATGATAATGCTGAAGGTGAGCTTTGGTGCCCCCCTTGGCTCAGAAATCAAAGAAAACACTGTCATGTAAAAAAACCAACAACAACAAAAAAAAAAACAATATGTCAAGTACTCTGTGTGAGAATTTTAAGGTAATGTGTAATAAAAGTTGATTTTCCTTCATGGTACCTCAGGAAAGTAAGCATATCTAAAAACTTTGTAAATATTTTGCCATCTCGTCATGTGAAATCACTGAAGACAAAACCTTTTACAAAGCAGTCAGTGTAGAGTTTGTAAATCGTACATTTTAGGGCAATCTTTCAACAGGCTAGGTTATTTTTAAATAGAGTAACAACCTTTTAACATTTTTAGAGAGGTCTTGAACTTCAGTGGCCTTTATGAGGGGGGCATTAAAACGATAATACAAAATTTTACCCATCTGTGGCCCAAGATTTTAATTCTAACAAGTCACATCAAACCAGAATTGCTAAATTGAGCAAGATTTTGACATTTTCACTCAAGGGTGTACTGTAGTTGGTTTCCATTGTGTGATGGCTGTGTGTTGACCTATTTTGAGGGCAGAGCAGATTTACAGTTACATAAGCTGTAAATGGACCATTTGAAGATGTAACAATGTGTCTTCATTAGTGCTGACATAAAGAGATGTAATGAAATATCTAAAAAAAATCTAATTACTTCAGAAAGACAGTTTTTCAAACTAACCTGATGAACGCAGACATTGCACTTGTCACAAAAGACCATCTCGTTGCCGTCCTCTCCCTCTGGCGAGCGGCACACATCGCACACCACATCTTCATCGTACTCAATGCCGAGACCCTCCTCCGTCTCTATGGCCTGCTGCATCTTTTCCTGGCACACGCTCTCCAGCTCGACCAGAACACACTCCATCGTCAGCTCGTCCAACTCCGGTAGGGCTATCGGTGAGACAATGTAACATTGAAAATGTTGGAAGACGGAAACCAACAAAGAGAAAAGAGCAGAGTGAAACAGGAAGCTATTAAAACCAGACAACTTTAAGAGTTTTCTGTTGTTGTTTGGAATGACAAGTAGGATTTCTCATTCTTCTATGAACAGAAAAAATTTTGCTCTTTCAGATAAGATAATCTTGTTCCTTGCAGCTTGGATTTCCTAAGCAGGAATGACGCTATTCAGTGAAGCAGAAATATTTTGCTGCACTTTTCACTGACTTATCAAATACCCTTAAACAAAAGACCTTGATTATACAGAAATGATTTTTTTTAATTAAAAAACAGAATTTTTTTTGCTTTTTCTACTGGTCTACACCACAACGGAGAGCAAGTTTGTCATGTCTCTATTGTCATGTACATATGAAAAACCTAATTCCTCTGTACGGAGGAGCAGTTTCATTTTTATAGTGATGACAAAGTAATTGAACTCTCAACAATAGGCCAGCTTCTTACTCAGCTGCAGGTGGCCTCTAATAGTTAACAGGAGTTTCTAAAGGGCTGCTTTCAAGCCATTTGGATAAACTGTGTACAGCCCCCAATAGTAATTGAAGATATCCACAAATGTTGCTTACCAGGTTAATCAGTTAAGGCAGATGGAAACTAAAATCATTACTGAGGTAATTTTACAATCAATTTTAAAACAGAAAATCGTAAACATTGTATACAACAACTGATATTTCCTATTAAACACTCTTTTTTTTTTTTTTTTTTCCCCAAACATCCAGCAACTGGGTTTAAAATAAGATTGGGATCAAAATACTGTTTTCTACGCAAAAAAATTATTTCTCAGGTAGAGGTGGACAACTTTTCTGGCAGTTAAACTACTACTGTCAAGTTTTTCTTACAGTTTTTTTTTTTTTTTTCATTACAAGAGCACAATAACAACAAACTAACCATATGAAACCCCAAAGTGGTAAGACAATTTACAGATTTTACAAAGTTATTTTTGACTTCATCACTCTGTCTCACACTTCAATTGGAAATGCACACAAATTTCCTCTGCTTGTTTATCTCATCAGGTCATTGTGTTGTCTTTGGACTTCAGGAGAAATGAGTGGGAAAGTAAGTCATGTTCCTGTTGGAGGTAACTCTTTGACAGAGTGGAGAAATTATGCATGACTTATGCAAATACATGCTTTAAGACAAGATATCACAAAATCTGCAGACAAAAAAATAAATCCTTTGTTGCCCACAGCTCTGTTTACCATGCGAGTTCGTGTCGACAACATTTGTATAGCTGCTAAATTTGCATCTCAAAGTAGTCCCTTGCTCCAAGGCTGTTTAACAGATGATGAAATTGGATCTAAGCAGTATGAGCTCTTGACCTAATAATAAATAAAAAGGATCTGAGATATGAGCAAAGTAAACAGTCTGATTTCCAGGACAGAAGAGACACTGAATAATATTATTACCTCTAACTACAGCGGAAGTATGCGGATTAAACAGACTGAGGAACCAAGAATTGCATTAAAGGATGTTTGAGTGATCTATGGAGAAGCTCATATTAACTGCAGCAAGATTAAAAAACAGTGCCTCAATTACCAATAGAATAGAAACAAATGGAATCTATGATGGAATCTGGTTTGTTTGCTCCCAGTATTTAGAGTCTGGGTAAATCAGTCGTTCCACCGTCATTTGAAAAAGCTATTAATTTGCTCAGCAGGTGGGATGGTTATTTGACCCCCCCTACCTTGGTCCTCAGAGTTCCAGCTGCTGCAGAAGGCTGAGGCCTGCCCGGCATGTTAGGGGCTTTGGGGGCTGGGGTGCCAGAGAACAGGTTGATGCAGACCACCAGGAAGAAAGGATTCCAGGTTTTAACTGGACAAGTGGTCTAAGGGTTCAGGTTCTCAGGGTCTCAGGGCTCGGTACCCTACTTTTCACTCTGTGCCATTGATGCTTGGGGGCTGCGGCTCATGTGTATCGCTGATGACCTACCTCTGCGCCAGGCGCACGGCCGCCCTGTGGTGATGCCTTGAGTATTTCTGCCTGGGGCGGCTACGGCCTTCCAGAGCCAGGGTCCACTTGTCCTTTGCTGCTTTTAGGTGCTGTGTGTTGCAGGTCCTCTACTGTTCTCACCACTCTTACAACTGCGCACCTCCCAATGACAAACTCGCTCATGTACACCCATGCAACACAAACACACTTATTTCTACACCTTAAGACAGCCATGCAATCCATGATGTAAGTTCATATGGACAAAGGTTACTATTATAGCAATTTGCCTTCATGGACCAAGTCTGGGTTTAATAAAGGCAATAATGCAATTAAGATACCGTCTTGAGATCTACTTTTTTTCAAGGCAACCAGCTTCTTTACATGGTATGCAGCGTCAGGACATGTATGGAAAAAGAAATAATTCACTTTAGAATTTGTATATTTCAGTAGGACCCTCCTATGTATGGAATGCATGCAGATCAGTGTTGCATTTAGAGGGTAGATCTTCCACAAGCAGCATTGAAGGAAAAGGTGTATGGCTGTGGATTATTTATTGATTTATCTGAAGGATTCAACACTCAGTTGGGAGGTTTTTTTAAGTGGAGCAGAGCATCCGGTGTCTCCATCTATTATTTACATCCGTCAATCTCTTCCTACCCTAAAAATAAATAAATAAAATGTACTCTTTCTTGAGCATCTTGTTATCAGCAGGGTTCGTATGCAGCCTGAGCTGCAGTTTCTCATATCCCGTGCTGGAAATGTTCATTCATGACTTTACTCAGAGATATAAGGCTCACTTCACAGAGGACTAAGCAGTAAATAGGAACAGCAACACTTCTCGAGTCCAGTGTCATCTCATAATCATGGGTAAGGTTTTGCTGCTTTCGATGGATCACAGACATGCTCAAGTTTACCTAAGGTGGGAGAGTTTTTAGGTTAATGTAATTATAATTTCTGTTTTTATAACACTTTAGTGTATGGAAATGATACACTGTGCAAAAGAATTAAAGAAACATTTTTAAATCAGAGTAATGTGAAGTCAATTAAACTGCAATATTGATCCAAATAGTTTAGCAGCATTGGTAATCCATGTCAGCTGTGTTGGTGTTAATAAAATTCACAAGAGCTGGGATCACTATCATTAGCATGAGGCAATACTTGGACCCTTCAGAGGCTGCACGGGCAGTCAATCCATTAGGTAACATCTCCACAAGGTTTACTTCATAATTCAGTACAGTCAAGAGGATGGAAGAGAGTTTAGCAAAGTCAGTCTCAGACAGATGAACAAGGTCTTTAACCCACTGGCTGGACCAGTATCCACACCTTTGTGCGGTGAGGGACATGATGAGTTCTACCAGAGGCCTACAAAGTGACATTCAGTGAGCCTCTGGATTGCCAAGTCTCTGACTAAATTAGAAACAGACTTCATCAATTGGACTGAAAAAGCTCTCTTCTTACTGTCTGGCAACATGGAGCTCAACTGGAATTTGGAGAAGAATTAAGAAATTGGCATCTTAACACTGGCACCACATTCTTTTCACAGTTGCGAGCAGGTTTATTTTGAGCTCATGTGGCAGAGGTGAAAGGGTCTGGAGAAGCTGACTGGATCATCCTGGGTCATTGTTGGTCTGGGGCGGCAGATCCATTAAGGGGCATTAAGATCTGTACAGGATAAGCAATGGCACCATTAGACCCATCAGGGTGACCATTAGCCCCATGGTCAGACCCTTCATTGGTGCAATGAGTATGTGTTCCTCCTTATCCATGACAATGCCAAGCTCTTTGTAGCTAGAGTATGCAGGCAGTACCTACAAGAATTTACTTCACTGACTCCATGCTCCTTTGCCCTAAATCCAACAGAATATCTTTAAGACGTCTTCTTCGGTTCCATCTAATGCCACGAGGTTGCATCTCAGACTATCCAGGCATGCAAACCAGCATGGGGACCACACAAATGACAGAGTACCATTTTGAGTAGCTAAAATTGACATTTTCAGCAGCCGTTTGTTCCTAACACATCGTCCATTCCAAATCAGTCTGGATGTCCAGTAAGATTGTTTTTATAATTGAGATCTGATTGATTTTCAAAGTGTTTCTTTAATTTTTGGAGCAGTGTATAGAATAAACATATATTAAGAGGCTATCTAAAGGCTATCAAATGTGAGGTTTTTATATGTCAGTGCCAGGACAGTTGATTTTTCTAACCTGGGAACGATTTCTCCAAATCTGAGTCTGATGATTGTAGATATAGTAAGCTTGGTGAAACAGCAGCACCTTCTTTCCCTTTCCATGCCTCTTTGGATATGGTACTGGAGACATTTTTATTGAGTTAAATGCATTATGTTCACAGATCTGTCCTTTCATCTCGCTACAGTACTTAAAGAAAGCGAATTCTAAGAGCAAACACTGTCTTTTACAGAGTCCTACCTTTTTTTTCCTTATTTAGAGAAGACATTTTTGTCGATATAAGTTTATCCTGATTCATCTTAGGGTATTATGGATGTTTACTTTTAATTATGGCACTTAATGTTCCAGAGATTAATAAAAATAGTTTAGACATTCATATGTCAATTTTTTTTTCACATTATTTAAAATCCATCTTAGTTAATGAAGTGAACCACACCAACACTTAACTTCTGACTCTCAATAAAGTGCCACAGTACCTATAGAACACAACTGTATAAAGAAAGAATGGGCCTCATGCAACAACATCTTCTTATTGTCATACATTTCTTCTACTTCTCTCCTGCCGTATACCAAAATGACACATCAGACTCAACTGACATTCTTAACTTCAATAAATGACTGTAAATAATTCTCATAAAGGTGATGCAGTTCACCTGTGCGTGAGTGAGCACACATTGATGAGAACTGCTAATCTGCATAATTATCGCCCTGATAATGCAATATAAAGCTACATATAAGTGGAAGGGCTACGACTTCCCAAGCTTGTCAGAAGGGGCTCATTCATAGAAATGGCATTGAAGACGCAGAAGGAAAACTTTACGAGTTCGAAGATCAAGGATCTGATGACTAAAAGCCGAGCAACAGAACAAAAAGCTAAGGGGTGGGAGTTAAATCACAAGTGCTGAAAATAAGGTGGCTGCCTTTTTACGGAATTAAAACTAAAATTAAGAGTATATAAATATAAAGAGAGAAATTAATTTGATCTGAAAATAGTCACTGAAAACTAGTGATAGTGGTTAGAGGTCCAACATACTGATGTAAATACTTAAAGGTATAGTGGAGGAAGTTCTATTTCCGGGTGGATCACCAAAATAATTGGTCCTCCTAAATTTCTATCATTCTGGTGATTTTTATTTACGTAAGGCCGTCCTACGTGCTCGTCCTCATTTTCACTTACCGGTAGTGAGCCTGACATAGTGAAAAAAATTGCCAATCTTCTTTTGGAAAGTAAGCTTGTATGAGCAAACAGCAATTTTTAAACAGAGCGTGCATGAGGAGAAATGGGCTTGTGCATGATCTCACACGCGTTTAATAGGCGGTCCCTCTCGGGAGCCGGTTTATTTTTTTAATTGGAGAGGGCATCAAGCAATGTGACTAAACATTCTTCAAAATCTCCTTTTAAAACACGCACACCTGTAAGGTACATCTCTGGATCGAATCTGTCATCCCTTCATCGCTCTCTCCAACTCTCTCATTAAATGCATTACAGCTAAACTATAATTTGACGAATGCAGACAGACTCAAACAAAAAAATCTACATTTTATGCAATAACAAAGCGAAGGTGCCACGATGGAGTGAAATGAAGTGTCACAGTGATTCTCAACTTTCTATTTTCTGTTCCCGTTCAATAGTAGGTTGATCTCTGACTGTTCTTTCTTTTGACAAACTGACAACAAATCAAACCAGTGATTGTCCCCTGGATACCGACATGCCAGCTGCAGTGGCCTATTGTTCTGTCATCAGTAAATAAAAGTGCAATTTATAATTGCAGAGTTGCATAATATATAATGATATAGCCTGATCAAATGAACAATTGCTTCTAAGTAAAACAAAAGAGGTAATTTAGTGAAAGACTAGGTTTGGATAACAGTTGACTCATTGAGCATGAGTCAGATTAGAAATAGGGGGAAAATGGTGAGTGCTTCATTTTCTCCTAAATCACTCGTACGAATAATTTCAAAAAGGATTTGTTCGTACGAATGGTTCTTGCATGAGGCCCATTGTCTCTTAGTCTCTGTCTATGAGGAGTTAGATTTTTCAGCTGTTTACTGGAATTGTCAAAACTCTGTGACTGCTGTGAATTGCATAGCTGTCTCTGAAGCAGCTGAGTAAGAGGAAGTAGAGTTAGATATTAACCTGCTGTGACATTTACATCATGAACTGAGCACACTGTACGGCAGGAAGTAACAGAAAACCTAAGCAGTGTCTTGTGGTTAGGTGTGTGTGTGTGTGTAGTGTCTGTGTTGTGGACTTTGTGTGCACTTCAAGCACATTTTCTGTCTTTACATTCTCACTGTGATTCTTTGTAAAATGACAGGGCTTGCAATTGCAGATTTACATTCAGCTTCGTCTTATGTTTTCAGTGTTAACCTAGAAAAAAAAAACACATTTATTTCTATTTCAACATCAGCATTCAGGAAGAAAAGGAGGATGTGGACCAGAAATAAGGCTTGGATGCCCAGCGGGGGATTCATAAATACAATTACACTTCCTTATCTGCAAGGGGCTGATCTGATATGGAATATAAAATGGTAGAGATGCTTAGCGTTGTGTGTCATCAAGAGGTCAAATAAAAAGTGCAGCAAAATATGTGAGACGAGGGGGACGACAGAAAACAGCAGATAATATAGGAAAGGAGGTGAAAATCAAGTAAAAGGAGAAAGGATGATGTTCAACTATAATTCATTCAGTTAAATATAAAATTTTTGCATCCAATAAGAATACCATCAAAAAAACATTTTTTAGGTTATTTTACTCAAAAGGGAAACTCATATTATGCAGATTTATTACACAAGAGGATAAGGATAGTACTGTAAATCAGCATATTAATAGAAAGTTAAGGGGAGGAAAAACATGAATTGCAGATTGCACAAGCAGCAGGGATAACTGCAGCATTAACAGGGTTATGGAGCAAAGCTGATTTAAGGGTTTCAGGAGATTGACTAAGAACAGACCACAGCTGGTATCAGTAGTTCAAGAGCCACCAAAAATTTAGCTTTGAAGCTTTACTTGTACTTAAACCAAGACAAAAACCAGAGGCCTCTCATTTTCACTGGCAAGTAGACTTGCCTGAGCTGAACCCTATAGGTAATCTATGGGTGCTGTCAAGAAAGATGAGACAGAAGACCCAACAATGGAGATAACCTATCAAAGCATGCTGGATTTCAATTTCACCTGAGCAGACCACAGTAGAACCACAGGCTGATTAGCTTAATGCTGTCCTGGAATAATGCAATCATGTAAAAGGAGCCACAAGATGTGACTGTATTTACTGTAAAGGCAGACAGTAAAGCTTAAAAATCCTCAGTTTCCCAGAGAAACTGAATTTAAGGCTTATGTTATCTGTAATCATTACAAAAATATATGAAACACTGAAATTACATCATTATGTGTAATTAGTCCAGATAATGTACAAGTTTCCCTTTTGAAGTAATTTATTGTAAAAAGCTTATATTTTTAATGCACTATGTCAGTGTTCTCAGTCCTGCACCTCACATACTGTCCTATTACCCTGCATATTTTACATTTACATTCAAATGAATGGTTAATCATTCATTAATATAAGTCAGGTGTGGCACCAAGGGGGCTCCTACAATATGCAAAGCATTGATAATTGAAAAACAGGATTGAGAACTACTGCATTCTTGCATTCTGTTATAGAGCTACAGCTATAAGCTCTCTGTAAACAAGTTTACAGCTTTCTCACTTTGATATGTCAGACAACAAAATCTTGGGTTCGTCTAGGACTTTATATCAGTTGTAAAATGTTGGATTAAGTCATAAATTTTAGGATTGGAGCTTTTGCCTGTCAGGCAAAATATAAACAGCGATTGATTATAATTACAGTGAAAACCTTAACGGAGTTCCTACAAAATCTAGAACTTCAGAAGCTATTTTTTATCAGGATATTTTTAGAGAATTCTGCACATCTATACAAATCCAGCAGACTAAAAAGGGAGGATAGGGAAACTTTACTGCTTTTGTTACATCTGGACTAACTTAGATCCGCTTATTTTCTAAATCTATAAATATTAGTCCTGTCATGGTACGTATCCTAAACTGAAAGTAAATTATTTGAAGTACATTTTTTTTTAGAATTTATATTTAAATTTTGTAAAATATTCAAGAAATAGACATTTTAGCAGGTTTTTTTGTTTTGTTTTTGTTTTTTTTTTAGGAAAAACATATTCAGGTCAACCTGTATTTAAAGGTTTCTAGTGACCAAAATTCTCTATATAACTTTTCTTTATATTGTAGCATGAATTTAGTTGATACTAAAAAACAAGAACTCTGATGGGTAACATGTTAAAGAATAGGTGGGATGTCGCAAATCATAGGTAAAGCATGTTGAATTGAAATTATTTTGAATACCCCATGTTTGTTAAAGGATTTTCTTCTTAAAGACTTTGTTAGGAAAAGAGGTTTGAAAAGGTTTTTTTTTTTCTGTAGTTTTCCAGACCTGGAAAAGCAAAACGGATATATTTCCAGATGCCTTTGTTTGCTGGATTAAACCAAAGCTAAATATGTGATGTAATAGTACTTTATTATTATCCTCAGCTGATCATTTGGTTTAAAGTGAGCGCTCACCCATCTGCCTGAACTCCTGGTTAACCAGCTGCAGCCAGGCAACATCCAGGTCATCCAGGTCATAGCAGCTGTGGAGCTGGGAGCGAGGAGGCTGTGCATCTCCCTCCTTCAGCTGACCGTCGATGGTCACACCACCTGTCGACTCTGCCGGCGACCTGAAACAAGAACAAGAGACGCTTTACATGAGGGCAGTTTGTACAACAGCACAAGGTGAATTAAGCCATTAGGTATTACCAGAGAGAAGTATTTCAGAATCAACTTGAATTTATAAATTTTGGTTTGTTGCTTTTATAATTAGCTTTGTTTATCCTCAGTTGTTACACAAGAAATTATAGGTCACAATGCGCCATTTTAGAGGCATTGTGATGCTTTTTCTCCTTTACTGAACTAAAAATCTGGTTTTGAAAGGACAATAAATCTACATTATAAAACCACAGTATTGGGTCTTAATTTAGCCAAATTAAGAATAGAGCTGTTTTTAATAAATAAATCCAAATTATCTGTGAGAGTTGTAAACCAGGCAAGAGGCACGGTATCAAATAAATGTTACAGAATTATGTGATGCTACACATTAAATCAGTATAAATTATCATGCTCTGGATTACTAAAAAAATATCTGGATTCAAGTTTATTTCTTCAAATTTTCGATTTTTCTGGCTTCCCCAAGTTCTTCTGTACTATAGAGTAAAGATGTATCTTTTTAGGCTTCTTAATTTGATCATTATATTTGGAGAATAAATACTGAGTTCTGTTAAGTTAGGATGTTTCAAATAAGTTGGCTGCAACATGCGGCAGACTAAAACCTTTTTGGTTAATATGTCAAGATGAGGTTTGGGGTTAAAAGATTAAACCTGATCATCAGTTTACACAAATTTCCATGTTTCTTTTCCCCCAATCCCAGTTGTTCTTTTCATGCCTCCCTTCCCATTTGCAATTCTCCTCAATGCTCTAGTTCCTCCCTTTCTTCCCGTTTCCATTCCTCACATATACTCTCCTTTCCATTCTATCTTTTCTCCTTCTGACCTTTTAACTTTTCAGTATCATTCTAATTGTTGTTTTCTTAATGTTCCTTTTCCATCCAGGAAATATCTTCATGCATCTCTAGCTTTTCAGTTTGTTCCCTTGTTCCTTTCCAAGGTTTCCTCCCTTGGTGTGTTTCCTTTAACTGTTTCATTATTGGCTTCAAGTTTTTCCTCTATTTATTCCACAGCTCTCTCCTGTTGAATTTATCTATGTCTTGCATTTCTTTAATTGTTCATTTTAATCCTTTTAATGTGCTTGAATCCTTCTTATTCTCTCTCTTCATCCCATACTTTTTTTTCTGCTAACATAGCCTACTCCTTTGGCTTATCCTTTTTTCTCTACCTTTCACTTTCTTTTATTCTCTCCTCCGGACCACAATGAGACCATTTCCTCTTTCTATGTCCTTCATTTTTTCTTCTGTCCTGTTGTCTACTCCATCCTCACGTGGTTCAGATGTTTAATAATTCAGGTTTTTCTGAAGTTTGATCTTCTGGAGCTACCTGTGCATAAACTTGACATATGGGTTTTAATCTTAAAAAGCCTTATAGCTTTTTGCACTACTTTTATGTCAACATGAATTATAAGGAAGTCTCATTACTGTCCAGAAAATCTTAAACACAGTTAAACAGATTCATAAAAAAATAACATATTTTAAAAAACAATGAGGAATCAAGCCGTGATAGAGAGGCAGTGACTGGAAGCCCCTCTAAGCGGTGTCTAGTCTCCTAAGCTTATGGTGTGATTGTCTTTTTAAAAATGAGGTCAAGATCTCTGTTCAACTAACTTGGAACCAATAAAAACTGAAACACACTCATATGTGCACATTCGAAGGCTTGGGTTACTCATTTAGACAGAGGAACAGAAAAGCTTAAAATCAGGCGACTGCGTGTAGGAGAATAACACGCCAACAATAACCCATACTCAAACATAAACCACACCCCTTTAATTCCCCTCATCATCTAGCAAAACTGGAGCCTTTGTTTGACAAAAAAGCACATCAGCGATCATAACCACAAACAACCTTGATCTCCCATTTAGCTCCTGCCTTCATCATCTCATTATCATCGCCCTTACCATCATCCCTCTCAGCATCCTTCACCTCAAGCAGCATGTTAAGCATTTTCACCTCAATCATAATAATCAGCACTGCTGCTATCACTAAAGAGAAACAATCTTAGTCCTCACTCGGGTCACATTTTGCAGGCGGAATAAAATCTAATTTTAAATAAGAATTCAAAACAGTCTGGCACAAAATCCAAAAGAAAGCATTGGTTAAAATAAGAAAAATTACTTCAGTTTATATACAGTTGTCAAATTTGTTTCTTAACAAAAATAAGAGAAAATGATCCACAGATATTTCACTTTTATGAACTTTATTCTGCTTTATTGTAGCTTGATCCTCTGATGGAGTTGCACCTCTGAATGTTGAAGACAAACCCTCATCTTTCCTTCATATTTCTATATGTTTACATCTAGATAGTCTACCAGGGATCCTTGAATTTCATGTTCAAATCGATGCCACCATCCCCTTGTAATTGCCCATCAGTGATGTGCAGCATTTCCACTGCAGGCAATGCATCCATTACTTGAATAAAAAAGCACAGATCTGATCAATCTTTTGTCTGCAAATGGACGATTTTGACCATAACACTTAAATCAATGAGATAATGTGTAATGATTAATGAATCTAGCCCTGTTATACATGTATGTGGGGACCACGTGGATTGAAAATAGAAGCCTATTCTGACGCTGCATCGGGACTGGAATGCGATATCTGACAAACAGGCCTGGGTCAAGTGGTCAGGAAGAAAATGAGAGAAAATAGACCCAGACGTTTACATAATAAGGCTGAATGGATTTCCTACTGGGGACAGTGTTTCTGTTATGCAACCTTGAAAGGAACAAGAAATACATTAGAGTGTTGTTCAGCTGCCTTTTTAACAGACAATACTGCTGCCAGATTAAACACTTTGTGCTGCAAGATAAATGCAGTGAAAAGCACACCCTGTCCATTGTCCCCCCTGTCTGTCAATGATGTAAAGCAAAGCAAATGTAGGTTTCATTTGTTCTTAAGATTCATGATTTAGTATACAAAGTTCTGTTTGTTGTTTGATGTCTGCTCAAAATAAAAGGAATACTCAAATAACAAAGTCTAGATCTGAATGAATGAAATATTGTCATTGAATACTTTGTTCTGTACAAAGTTGAATGTGATGACAACAAAAACATAAATGGAAGTCAAATGGAGGCCTGGATTTGGAGTCGAACACAAAATTAAAGTGTAAAAACAGACAACAGGCTGATCCTACTTTGATGTAATGTCCTTAAAACGGGTCAAAATGAGTGTTGTATATGGCCTCATGCACATTCCTACAAAGCCTGGACGGCTCCTGATGAGGTGGTGGATGGTCTCCTGAGGGATCCCTGAACAGACCTGGACTAAGGCAGCTGCCCATTTGTGGACAGTCTGTGGTGCAAGGTGACATTGGTGGTTGAGTCGAGACATGATGTCCCAGATGTGCTCAATCAGATTCAGGTCTGGAAAAACGGGTTAGCCAGTCCATAGCTTCAATTCCCTCATCTTGCAGGATGAGGTCTGGCATTGTCCTGCATTAGGACGAACCCAGGGCCATCCACACCAGCCACTCACAAGCGGTCTGTGGATCTCATCTTGGTACCCAATGGCAGTCATGCTTCCTCTGGCGAGCACATGGAGAAATGCAGCCCCACATAATTACTGACCCACTGCAGAACAGGTCAGCTGAAGGCTGTTGTAGGAAGCAGACTGCTCTCCACGGTGTTTCCGGACTCTGCCATGTCTGTCACATGGGCTCAGTGTGAACCTGCTTTCATCTATGAAGAGCATCAGCGCCAGTGGGTGACTTTGCCAGTCCTGGTGTTCTCTGGCAAATGCCAAGTGTCCTGCATGGTGTTGGGCTGTGAGCACAACCCTTCCTCATCTGTGGACATCGGGCTCACATACCATCCTCATGGAGCCGATTAGAATCCATGGCCTGCTGTAGGTCATTTTGCAAGGCTCTGGCAGTTCTCCTCCAGTTCCTCCTCACACAAAGGTGGGGGTAGCGGCACTGCTGCTGGGTTGTTTCCCTCCTTCATGTCTCCTGGTGTACTTGCCTTCTTGCAACAGTTTACATTGCTGTGCCCACCTGGACTAGCTGCACTACCTGAGCCCCTTGTGTGGGTTTTATAGTCCCTCTCAGGCTACTGCGAATGTGAAAGCACCACCAACATTTAAAAATGAGCAAGAAAGCGAAGGTACTAAGAAATGGGCTGTTGTCTCCACCTGCAGTTACTCCTTTATTGAGTGTGTCTTGCTAATTGTCAATCATTTCCACCTGTTGTCTATTGTTGTCCTTTTGGACAACAGGATGTGAAATTTATTGTCAATCAGTATTACTAAAAATGACTTGCAGAGTTTTTAGACTGTTTTGTTGCATATCATTTGTAACCCACATGGTCTAGTTAAAACAGACCTAAAACAGTAGTTCATTAAAAATAAGGCAGTAGCAAAACAAATATGACATTCTTTTTCTAGAGTGGGTCATGCCAGTGAACCCAACCTGGATACTGAAGGACAGAAAAACAGTATCCAAATTAAGTTACTATTTGCTGGCTGTATAACTACGTGCAGAGTACCAGTGTACCAAAAACAGGATAATAGGATGGGATCTTAGTGCAGCACATTTATTGTAAGGATCAGGGAAAACAAAACAAGAGTGTGAAGACCATTGAAAATGTCTTGCAGGCAACATGGAGTAGTAAACACCAAAGAAGCAACAGAAACCCAGCATTGCCATAAGGCTGTGTTGCTCCATAATGTTTGTTGTGAACAGGATGGCAAAAGAGAATAGAAATCTACTTTTGGTATCAGCATTGTCAGAGTCTTGGTTTGTTAGTTCCTGTTTTTCTTTGTTTTCCATTTGTTTTCCTCTGCTGCCCTCTTGTGTCCTCTTTCCCTTGCTCTGTTTTCTGTTCTGCCCTCACCTGTTTTCAATCCCCTCATTAGCTCTCTCTTTGTCTCTGTCCCCTTTAAAAGCCCTCCCTCTTCAGTTCCTGTTGGCTGGATCCTCGTCTAACGTCTGTCTGCCTTTCTCGTCTCTCCCTAGAGTTT